TGCATGAACACAACTTTACCGCTTAGCGGGATACTGACTTTCTGTCGTATCAGCATCTTTTCAATTCAATTGATATTCAGTGTGTGCCCATCGGAAAACGGCACCTCTATTTTCCGTTTACGACGGTATATTTTAAAGAATAAACTATACTAAGAACGTACTTCAAGGGCCAGTTCATATGGGCAAAAGTTATCCTGGTTAGTGAAAAAACTTTTCGAAACGTTTACAAGCGAGATCTCGCCTTGGTATGAAAATAATATGAAAAGTTTGTTTACACTGCGTTCATATAATACAAAACGTTTTCCCGTGTATGTACCGAGATCTCGCTTGTCGAGTGATAACGTTTTTCCCATATGAACACAACTCTAGTTCCCGCTTGGCAGGATAGCTTTCTGTCGTGTCAGTACTGACTTTTCAGTTCAATATCAATTCTGCTATGTCACAGCCGGAAACTTTACCCGGTAAGCGGAATAACATTTCTCCATGCATGTGGACGAACAAAAGTATATTTGGCTAGTCGAAAAGTTTTCTCGTCAACCGAAATAACCTTTGCCCATATGAACAGGCCCTTTAAGACGAAAGGGGTTGTTTTCTCGCATAAATTTTGTGCCATCTTGTATTCACCCGCCACGATTTCGAGAGGTATGGACGCATCGAACGACAGCTGTTTGCTACGACCTAGCTAGTTACTGCTCTCTTCAGCGACGAACAGTGGTATAAAAATTTCCGAGTCAACTAGAGCAACATTCACATTCTGTGTTATTTAAATTTGTTTTTTAACCTTGTTTTTTTTATTTTTGGCAAGTTGTAGTTTTTCCCCGCTTGCTGCTATGTTGGAAAGAAGACAATTTGTTTTGCGCATGCTCGATGTCGAACATATTTTTTATTTTTTTCGAAATTTGGGCACGGCACCCCTTGCTAGACGTGCCGAGACTACCTCGTGAGAAAGTCTCGGCACGTTTAAATTTTGCGGCACCGGTGCCGATTATTGTCACGTTTACACGCCAAAAGGCAGAGGTGCCGTGCCTAAAATTTTGGGCATGCGACGGCAAAACCTGCAAAAATCCAGATTTTCGTAATAGAATCTATAGTCTCTCTACCCTCTTGTACCGCCATCTTGGATTTATCATGTAGGCCCCGCCTGCGCTAGGTATGCGTCAGCAATCTAGATCTCCTATATCTATGGTTTTAACAGTTTGTTAGTCTTGGAAAACGATACATGCAGGGATAGTTCGGAATGCGTTATATAGTCATAATAGTATTTAGATATGTAATTTATATTGCCGCAAATTTATAAATAGATAATGAAATTCGTTTATTGTCAGAAAGTCAGACTGTTGATATTCTGGGCCACGTACATAAGATTAGAATATCGAATAACATACAGTAAATTTGCCATAAATGTCGACGAAAACCAAAAGCAAACGAAATCAGCAAAACCAAAAAATGGCATAAACTTCTTTGGCTTTTTACAGTGCCGTGCCCAAAACACTGGTCGTGTAAACCGGCCTATAGCCTATCTATATTGATGAAAATTTCATGACATGAACGGAACAGAGAAATTGAGAGCCGTTTCAAAATAAATAAAAAAATAACTAAAAACTAAATTCTAAAATCGAAATGTGTACAGCGGGGTTCGAGACTCGATTTTAGATTCATGTATTTTAGATTTTAATTTAGGTTCTATATTTTACATATTATTCTTAGGACTTAGACTTATAGTTTTAATATAGATTATAGACATATATTTTTCGACTCTCAGCCGGTAAATTTTCCGTTTCGCCTCTACGTATATATGCATGGCTCTAGGCTCACTAACGCTACGTTTTTAACCAGGGTAAACATGCTTTGACTGTGACACACATATATATTCAGAAATGGCTTGACTCCTTCAGCAGTTCAGCCACGATGCAAACTAGTCAGAGAATGCCAAATAATAAAAAATATTACTGTATAAAAAATTGAAAATATACTTACAAAATATACTGGTATGATATCTTTATAGACTTTATATCTAGTCACTCTCCACTCTCTTGACTCTAGTATATTCTAGACAGTTTAAATATTTGAGTACAACGACGTTAACGTAAAGAAAGTTTCGATGAAGTTAGCTGTACAAAGGTCTATAAACTGTTAGGCAACGTAAACAAGTCTAATTTCCCGCCTAAATAATCGCGCTTCAAACCAATCAAAACCAGTGCTTCCACTTACAAGGATGACTGAGCGGGCGCAAACGGGCATAACAAATTTTGTCATTCATGTAAACTGTACGTTTGAAATATACTTGTTTACATGCATGTAATGTTGTAGAAACTTTATTTTAATACCTATCTTTTGAAAGAAAACATTCTGAGCTTTTCAAAAGTCTTGTTTTATAGCACTGTCTGCATGTGATCAGTCTAAACTCAGAGGGCTAAACTGCCATAACTCATATAAATAATAAAGTCATAACAAACGCGAAATCACTACATATACTTGCAATCTTTGACTTTGACCTTTGTATGAACAGAATATTACAATATATTAATATGAATTTACTGTACTGTAATCAATAGACAATAATTTCAATATTTTAATTCTTCAATATTTTAGAATTTATGGGGCGGAATTAATAGTAATAATTTCCCTGCGTTTATATGGACAAGTAGGTTGGCCCGGTTGCCGAGATCTCGCTTGAAAAAGCCGAGATGAAAATTTCTCCATTTAATGCATATTTTCATTGTTTTGAACAGGTTCTTATTTTTAATAAGCGTCTATGGAAAGCGATTTGGTGCAAAATTCAATCATTAAAATTCTACCAGTTTCAACAAACGCCGATCAACATCAACCACTTTTTTCTACCAGTTTCAACAAACGCCGATCAACATCAACCACTTTTTTATAATACATTCAACAAACCGATTCAACGTCAACATTAATTCCGTTTCAAATTCAACTATTCAAAAAGCCTTCTATATCAACACCGATTTTTGTTTCACAACCAAGAAGAGTTTATTGCTTCGGAAGCAACAACTACTAAATTCAAGATCAACCTTAAAATTTCTGCCAGATTCAAGCAAGCAAAATTTCAATCAACAAAACCCAAAACGCTGTCAACAAAACCCGAAACGCTGTCAACAAAACCCAAAACGCTGTCAACAATTAAACCACACTAGTTCCCAGTCCATTGAGATAAGTTTTCCCGCCATTTTACATGTGGTTCGCTTGTGCTTCGTGTTTATTAAAAATGGCGGGCAATGCAAGTAGCGACGACTTGGATGAAAGAATAAGGAGGTGTATAAGGGAAGAACTTACAAATAATAATGCTGGTGTTGATAGAAACTCGAACCAGACACTAGTAGGACGAACACGCGATTTAATCAGGTCTTCAGCAACATTTGCGTCCAGACAGCTCGGTGGAGTCACTGGAGGACTACCCAGTAGAAGTTCACAGCAACAGAATAGTTCAACGTCGGCGGTTTCTGTTCGTGCTGGAAGAACCGACCGAAGCGTCCCATCACATCCTTTGCGTTTTCCTAAAAGAAAGCAAAATGCCCCCGCCAAGAATAGCAACAAAAAGAATAAACAGACTATTCCAAAAACTGTATATCTGTTAGACAATATAAGTGGCGGGGATGACGAGGATGCGGAGGTGGATGATTACGAATATGCCATTAAAGATGAAATGATTTTGTTGAAAGGAGAGTTTGATTTGGAATGTGATGGTGATGAGGCAAGTATTCAGTCAGAATTGAAAAAGGTGTTCTCAAAAAAATTTCCATTAATATGTGATGATAATTTTGATTTTGTCAAAAGAGACCGTAACACTGTTTGCACACCTGTTGTAAAAGAAGGGCACAAATGGGACTATGCTCATGTGAAGCACTTGTGTGGGGCTGGCAAGCTGTATGTTCGACTAAACACCAACAAAGACATTATAAT